CTCGTGCTTGCGGCGCACCGGGTCGGAGGCTCCAGCAGCGCAAGCCGGTGCGCGAGATGGCGGATGGACCCACAGATCTTGTTGTACTTCGCGTAGGTGGCAGGATCCTGTATGTGGTAGCGACGCATAACATCATGGTCGCGGTGGCCCTTGTCTGATTGCCATTCGAGGAAATCTACCTTTCGGAGGAGCCTTGGAGTGAGGAGAGCTTATTGTTAGCGATAATGATAATGATGATGTATAGCGAAGGCAAGGGGTGGAGCGGAAGGGGGGGGGACTGGGGGGGGGGGGGGGGCAACAGCAGCGAGGTGAGGTGGTGAAATACTTTTGTTCGTGGTGCTTGAGTTTGCGGACCATTGCTGTTTGTGCTGTGGGGTTGAGATTTCTAGGGGTGAGGTGTGTTGTTCGTTTGAGGATTTAATTGTGGGAAGCAGCGCCAATGGTTGGATGAAGTGCGGTCGTTGGTGGTTGTTGAAACAGTAGGAGGCTCAAAAGTAAAGCAGGGCTGCGACATAAGAGATTTTCTTAGTGCTGGTCCGTGCTTTGCTACTAGCACGGCGATTGGACCAATCAATCGAGAAAGTGCTTTAGTAGTTGATCGATAGTGATATTCACCACATCGACAGGATATCATCATCTGTGGATTCAAAGACGACCACGCGAGGAGATCTGTTTCGTGACGAATAAATAACTATAATATATACTTTATATTAATTATATTATGGAACTTGAGGGTACTGGTGGGTTGGCCGCCAATTGCCCAGTCACGTGCCCAACAGTATCACATTATTAATTAGGGCGCGCAATTGCATATATGCTGTGATGTCAAGGCCGCACATCATATTGCAACGAATATCTTTTAATTAACGAGAATATCCCATAATACGTACTTCAAGAATAGACTCGAGTCTAGAATTAATAACTCATCACACTCAGGCGAATTACTATGCAGTTGGAAAACACTGTTGTTTGCATTAATTTCTGCGGCTGTATGTAGTATCAAGAAGAATGAAGAGCTACATGTTTCTAGGTATGTATAACAAAACAACTGTAAACCAAACATTCAGGTGAGTCAAGGCTGGACGCTGTAATTTATGTATGTATGTAGGTAGGAGATCATCGATTGTGATCCAGACTGGGACTGGGGGAAAACACGTACAATGCATCGTCTTTAACACTACATACATTAATCAGACCTCACCACGATGAAGTATGCACGTCTTAAGCGCTCTTAGCTATATATTGTTTATATTCAGGTAACTGATGCAACGTGAATAAGAATAACTGGGACTAGCGATGAACCGATGGAATTCTGATGATAACGATCGTGATGTAACTACATATACATAATATGCCATGCTACAAGTTGTCTCATTAATTCTTTTTTTTAAACACGATTTGTCATCTACGTAAGCGGTATGCGCCACAGCGTTGAGCGAGTAGAGTAGAGAGGTAAACTGAGCAAGCACAGTAATCATGTAGGCATTTTCTACTTCGGCATGCCTGGCGAACCAAGGAATCAAACTGATGGATCGCAATTGATGCGATGCAAATCTACATTCCTCACATCGCATTCCCAGCACTCTCTGAGTACTCTAGAATACATGTACCTATGTACTCAGTACTCTAGTGGCGTATTTTGTACATGTCGGCACAGCTGCATCTTCGGCTCTCACTCGGCTAGCAAGGCCGTGGTTGGCCTGGTTGTTGTTACGCAGTACTCAGTCAACCAAGCCAGACTCTCTAGTTGCTCTTCTCACCTCACCTAGAAGTAGCTAAACACATGCAACTACAACAATTCATGGCGCAAACAATGAAACACCACAAAGACGCCCACTGATTCATAAGTAATCTGAAAAGCACATAAAGTATATACTTGGTTATGCATATCCGGCCCGATGCCCGACCTCCGCAATCACGGAATCTGATAACAAAGCTGTTGCTAAGCAACTCCCAGAGCCGTGAGTAGCCGGTTGTCTAGTTAGATCGGATGATAGCTCATGAAGAAGATCAAATAAGCTTCACAAAGCAATTAAGCACGCGAGAACCGGACACCCCGCTTGCTAGCTTCTCGGCCCGTAGTTAGGACTTAGTTAACCCCACTCCTTACATCATGGCCAATTTGTAATTACATGCAATTGAAGATCGCTCCATCTACCCCGGATCCCTTTATCAACCCCACATCACCACCCTCCCCTTCACGCTATATCACTCACCTCTTAATACTCTCACCCACCACCACTACCACAACCACAACCACAACCACAACCCCATAGCAATAACCACAATGGCCACCCAAATCCCCACCTTTCACCTCCCCACCGGCGCGCCCATCCCCGCCATCGGCTTCGGCACCGGCACTGCCTGGTACAAGTCCGAGTCCGAGCCGCTCAACCGCGTGCTGATCGACTCCATCAAGTCCGCGCTCGCACTCGGGTACCGCCATCTCGACTGCGCGGAGATATATGGCACCGAGCCCGAGGTGGGCGTTGCGATCAAGGAGAGCGGGGTCCCGAGGGAGGAGCTGTTTATTGTTGCGAAGGTATAGTAGATATAGCTTATTAATTGGAATTGGAATTGGGAGATAACTATGGATATAGAGAGAGTAGAAAAGCTAACCATGTGCGCCGGGACCAGTCTTTCAAAACCCTCGACGACCCCGAAAAGGGCCTCAACGAGACCCTCCGCAAGCTCCAGACCGACTACGTCGACCTGTAAGTCATACATACCCACCTACTCACTCACTCCCGCCCTCACCCACTCCCGCACTCCCGAACTCCCCGCCCCCACTCTTTCACCCCACAATTCACTCCCGCCCCCCCCGCCCCCCCAACTCCCCTCCCCCTTCCCCGACACCTCCACACACACCCACTAACCCACCCACCCTCCAGGTACCTCATCCACGCGCCCTTCCTCCCCCCACCCACCCGCTCACCATCCCACAAATCTGGTCCCGCTTCGAGTCCCTCCAAAAATCCGGCAAGACCCGCTCCATCGGCGTCTCCAACTTCACCGTCCCGCAGCTCACGTCCCTCCTCACGCACGCCACCATCCCACCCACCTACAACCAAGTCGAGTTCAACCCCTACTGCCTCGACCTCCCCCTCCTGCGCTTCTGCCAATCGCACAACATCCAGCTCGCCGCCTACTCACCCCTTGGCCCACTTACCAAGTTCCCCGGTGGCCCCTTGGATGCGGTGCTGAAGCGCATCGCGGGGGAGAAGGGCCGCACGGAGTCGCAGGTGCTGATTAGGTGGGGCGTGGAGATGGGCGTGGTCATCGTCACGACGAGTAGTAAGAAGGAGCGGCAGGAGGAGTTTGCCGGCGTGGGGTTTGAGTTGGGGGAGGAGGTGGTGAGGGAGATTATGGAGGTGGGCGGCAAGGTGCATCATAGGATTTACTGGACGGAGGATTATGAGAATTAGGTGTTTTGCTAGCTGGCCTTGGTTTAGATACCGAGAAGAAAGAAGGAAAAAAAATAGTAGTAGTACTAAGGCGTTCGGTAAAAGGTCGTGAAAAGCACAAGGAAGCAACGGGGCGAACACCAAAGTTGACGTGACGCGATCCAACTAAAACAATGTGTTAAACAAAAGGGAGGAAATCTATTTCAAGGTTAATTTATCATGTATCTATTTGCTATTTAATTAAAGATTCTTGTTGTCGTTGATACCATTAATTTGGATGGGTTCGTGAGTTCGTGGTGTTGCTTCAACTTTGGTTGCTTTCACGACCTTTTACTAGTAGTCCTGGGTAATAAATTCTGGAATCATGAGCGATCACCCGGTGGCTTTTTTTTTGTGATCATTTCTGGTGACACAAGGTTTTTGGGTTGGCTTAATCATCCATCTCGATCATGATCAGATCATCACTTTTCAAAACAGTCCAAGTGTTACAATATTACCCGATGGTTGATCAGCTAGCTAGCACACATGCACACTTCTACATATCTGTTGCATCTTTTGTAACCCCCCTCCTCAACTTAGAGTACGCTAGTGTTTCGATGATTGGATCGCACGCACCATCAGCTTGCGGATATTATTAATGAATTATCAATCAGTCAATCAACTTGCGGATATTGAGGTGCTGTTTGGAAAAGATTCTTACACCTCAAATACGTGTACGTGTACGGTGTACGTGTGCATGCTTAAATGATCAATTCTCGCTCCTATATCGACTCCATTGTGACGATCAAACACTCTTTACTCAACGTGCGTTGTAAAAGGAGATACAGTGCGTACTGTCAAGCAAGTACCTCATGATAGTCATCTATTGTCATGCCCCATGGCCAGAATGAGACAACCAAAAACACACAAAGATAAAACATCGATCTTGATCAGCGATACTAGAGAAGAAACCATTGATTGACCCATGAGAGAAGGAAAAAAAAGAAATGAAAAAAAAGAAAGGCCCAAAAAAAAACGGAACTTTTTCCAAAACAGAAAGGGCGCCTTAAATATTTAACAGAAACACACATGAAAAGCACACATGCCATGGTCTTTCTGCACTCCTCAAATGTCCTATTTACCACCCCCCCCCCCCCCCCACACACACACACCCCACTTCTCTCTCTCTTAAACAGCCCCTGGGCCCCTATAACCGTTTCCGCCCCCATTACCCTTCCCCGGGTCCAGTAGCAGTGTAGGCTTGATGTAACCCTCATCCAGTTTCCGGAACCACTCGGCCTGGTCCTCGCTAGTTCCCGAAAATATACCTGTTAAGCTATTGAACGCACTACCAGCGGTGATGCCTATGCTTGCAGCATGTGGCTGCGTTTGCGCCTGAGTACTGCTACCTTCGCCGTTCCCACTTGCACTTGCACTTGCACTTGCAGTTCTAGTTATGGATGCCCCACGGGGGCGTACGGTAGTCGGTATCATAGGTGGCAGGTCATCGATATCACTATCAGCATCGCTATCATTCGAGTCTGTACGCAGAAGCTCCGGCTCCCGTCGGCCGCGCCTACCAAGCGGTGTATCTTGTGTGTCTGGGGAGACACCCCGTTGACCCGAGGCGTAGATGCCGCTGTCAACATTGGAGAGGGGGACAGAATTGGGGCCCATGCCTCCACGGGGAGACTTAAAGTAGGGACCAACGGTCTCGATATCAAACTCATCATCAGAATCTATTTCTTCCACTACGCCTGTACGAATACCTAAAATCTCAAGCATTCGAGCTGTAGTACCGCCAAAGACGATGACAGTGAGCACGACGACGACCAGGACTGTTGCGCGGAGTGGGTTCCCGTTCTCGCCCGTGATACCGGCAGCGAGGGCTACGCCGACAGCTCCACGAAGTCCGGCCCAAAAGAGCATCGCCTGATACGAGTGCGGGAGTTCATCAGCCACGGTTTGCCCGCGTGCTCTTGCACGGGAGCGAATGACAAAATTGATGAGTTTAGAGAGAGGAAATACTGCAGCCCAGCGAGCAACGCAGATACCGATTGTAGTGACGAGGATGAAGAGAGGGCGGAAGACAAGCTGGGTGTCAGTAAAGAGTGAAAGGCCGAGGTAAATGAAGATGAAATTCTCGGAAAGCTGAGCGAGAACTTGGAAGAGATATTTAGTGGTGAGCTGAGTTCGGCGGGACATGTTGTAATAAGCGTAGTGTTTGAGTGTGATACCGCAAAATAGTAGTGATACGATCCCTAATAATTGATGAGTAAGCTCTTATAATTTTGAAGGTAGAATGCCTCCATTCGGAGCAGAGAATACCATACCAGACATGTGACATCCGTTCGAAAAAAGGTACGACGAATATGCTATCAGGAGGATAAAGGAACTCTCGATCTTCGGGAATCTCCGAATATATGTATATTTCAATAATAAAGCCGTTCCGATGCCGATAAAGACCCCAATCAATAAACTCACGGTGAAGACAATGAAGAAAATACCGATACCCTTGAACAGACTTCCAACACTTGCTGGTCCATGTCCAGCTCCGTGGAAACGTTGAGCGGTCTCGAACATAACAATAGCAACTGCATCGTTCAAAATACTCTCTCCAAAAATCACAGTATAAAGCTTCGGATCCACTTTATATGTGTTGAATATAGCGAGAATAGTAACAGGGTCCGTCGCGGAAAGGGTCGCGCCAACCGCAATAGCTTCAACGTATGAGATATCAAGCGTCTCTAGAGGCCCCCAGGACCAGATGAATACTATGGTTCCTAGAACTACTGCCGAAATGAAAGTCCCAGCAAATGCAAACGTCAAAATCGAACCTATATTCCGGAAGAAATTCGCTTGATGTAGCTCATAACCCGAGTTGAGAATAATCGGTGGTAAAAGTACATTGAAGAAGATCTGGTAGTCGAATTTGACAAGGTTTTGAATATTGTCACCAGGAGTGACCCTGATTAACAGCCCCACGAACATACCTACGCCATCCCACAGCATTAGCTTAGCTCCAGATCTGGCTCCCATGATACCACCTCGACCCCAAAAACACCACAAAGGAAGCTATACCCGCAAAAATCGACACCACAGTCTCGTGTACCGCCTGTATCTTCTTCAGCTGCAGGTAGTAACTGCAGAACAGTGCTAATATCAGTAGCGATACCTGGATAAATAACGCCCATGATGATATTATTTCCGATTCGCCGGGATCGGTAGGCTCTTCAAAGTTCTACACGTTAGCCATCGTGAATGAGCTCTCCCTGGATTTGCACTTCTCCCATATGTTCATCGGTACTATAGCCGCAACCGTAACGCAAAGCTTTGAGATGGGAATATCAACAGTCACTAAGAATCCGTACCCTCAGTATCCGGCTCCTCCGCTTCGCGCTCTATCCACCACGCCCACGACAGTCAGTTTCATCCATCCCATCCGGACACGTTTCGCAGGAAGGCCACAAACTCAACAGCGCGAACACCAAATCCGTCACCACACTCATAGCAGCAAGCTCGCCCTCAAGAGAATGGATATGTTTCGCGATAAGCACACAGGAAACGAATGGCGGGGTGGGGTGGCTGTTTATCGATGTCTCGGGTCGTGTGGGGGGGTCGTGTGGGGGGGTGGTGGTCGATGTCGTTGCAATAGCTGCGGCGGGAGCTCACGGACTGGCTGAGATACCTATGGCACCTATGGCGCAAGTCTAGGCAGGCGCCCAGCGAAGTCGGCCGGAAGAGCCGCGACGTCTCTACCGAAAACTTTAATTCTACATAATGCCCTTACGTACTCGGCCCGCTGCCGGCTTGGCTACACGATACAAGATTGGCGGAAACTGTTCTACAAAACGAGCGTAGTAGTACTACATGTAGTATTCAACGCTCCAGCGGTACTAACGAACAACTAGTTGGAGTTTGGCACTGTGCGCGGCGTCTGAATAATTGTCGACATTCTCAATCCGCCAATATGCATGGCATTTGAAACTTGACTCTGTGTCTGTCTTACAGGCATTGTACGCAAAAATGAGATAACACACTTGCCAAACGGTGTTCTGGTTGATGCACATAATGAACAATCCGAGGGGGAAAAAAGTTTCGCAACTCGACAACTGCCGGCTCAAAAGAAATATAATAAACTAAACTCTACACCCTAACTCTTACAAAAACAGAGATGTCGATTAGGAGCAACATTCGCTGCCCCTCTTCTATTTTTCTCTATACTTACTATACCCAACTGAAAAAGCAAAAATGCAGGGAGGTCTGAACAAGAAAATATGAGGTAAACGAAGTTTACCAAACAAAAAAAAATACAAGAGCATGGCCGCGTGTCGGCGGAAAACCCACAAATAAATAGCTCATAGTAGCAAAATCCCAAATGTCCTAACAAAAAGCAACCTCCCATAAATACTCACAATATGCAGAATATGGAAAACCCAGCAGGAAAACTCCGACCATTCTAAACGCCTAAACGTCATCTCCCTCATCAAGGCGTCTATAGTTTCCTCCGGTCTCATTTTCTGATTTTCCGCCAAACACTCCCTTGATCCATCCGCCGATCCCGCTCCCGCCTCGGCTACGGTAGACAGGTGAGGGTGTTCGCTTTGCATCTGAGCGGCCGATATCGAGTGAGGGTACTGGGCTTCCAGTGCGGCTTGGGTGAAGGAGTGAGTCTCTGGCAGTTGCCGGTGTTGCGACGACGGTTTGATCTCCGAAGATTTGATCCATGTCTTCCAACGCAACGCCCTTGGTTTCTGGGTATACAAACCATACTATAGAGCCCCATTAGTTACGAATACCACGCAATTTGATTTTGATACTTACCAAGCACAAAACTGACGGCGCAAAAGAAGGCATGAACCAGATAGAGTCTCCACTTGATCCAATCTTGTAGAACGGGTGTCATTTCACCAACCAACCAGTTGAAAGCCCAATTAGTCGCCGTTGAAAGAGAAGCACCCTTAGCTCTGATGCTCAAAGGCATGATCTCCGGTGGGTACAACCATGGGACAGGTCCCCATGAATATCCGAAAAATGCGTTATAAATGATAACAAATATAACAACCATCCGTGGTGTATAATGCACGTCGATGTAGATGAAGTAAGATATCGCTGAAAGTGAAAGACACATGACAATAGCACCTGACAAAAGGATTGGGCGACGACCCCATTTATCCATAAGATACCATCTATCACGGGCATCAGCATCAAACTTGGGTTTGGGTCTAATCTAAGGGAACTTACGGAGGAATGGTACTCAAGACATAAACAATACCATTAATACCGGTCATTAAGATGGCATCGCGACCAACCCAACCAGCTTGTTCAAAAACCAATGGGGCCTGTTATTATTAGCTTTTATGGTCGATTATTATGAGATAAAATAGTTTGAAATGACGTACGTAGTACGAGATCACGTTGATACCGTTCAGTTGAGCGAATGCTTGGGACGACATGGCAATCAAGAGACGCTTCCTGTATCGAGACCACATCTCCGAATATGAGCGCTCGCCCTCTTGGCGTGTAATGATAACGTTTTCCTTGATTTCGCGGAATTCGTTCCTGGCATGTTCGTTGTGAACGTCTCCACCTCCATAAAGATTGGCCAATACGACCATCCCTTCCTCGTCGTGATCATTGTCAAGAAGCCACCTGTAATAGAGTTAGATATTGATATTTTACCCACATTTTAGCAGGTTGACTTTACCTTGGGGATTCACAAATGATTAATGAACCAATTGCGAGAAGAGCGCCCATGATACATTGCATAGACAACGGTAGACGCCATGACATGTTACCTTCGATGTAAGTGCAGCCGTAGTCAACCCACACACTAGATGCATATCCGATGATATTACCAGTGAACTCAATGCATGCAAGTTGACCTCGGTTATGGGAAGGCGAGATCTCGGATTGGTAGACCGGGACGATGGTTGATAACGCTCCAACACCAACACCGGCAATGATACGGCCCAGTACCAACATTCCCATGCCATTACAGAGAGTCTGAAAAGCACCTCCAGTGACAAAAATTACAGCTCCCCAGAGAATTACTCTTCGGCGACCATAAACATCACCTAATCGACCAACTATAAGAGAGGAGAAGAAAGCTCCAACTTCTAGAATAGCAACCATAGTCCCGATCTCAGCTCGAGTTGGCTGATTAAAGTAGTCTTTAAAATACGGTCCACTACGGACAGAATCAGCACCTTGTACTGAGAACATGTAATAAGAATAGACGGCGTTCATACGTTATAATACCAGACATTACACCTTGGTCATAGCCAAACAAGAACACACCCAAGCTCACGAAGATACTTGTAAAATATCTTTTAGAAATTAGCTAAACAGTTCTTTTCCATTAAGCTCTAGGTATACAAACAGTAACGGCTTGCCCGTCAATCCATGGATTGACGAGCCATTTCTTCCGCCAGACATGACGGAAGCTAGTATTCGCTGCGAGTTGGAAGCTCTATTCACGGGTGTTGGTATATGAATTACTATTTCTTTCGTACTGTGTCCGTGATCGGACGATTCAGTCGACTGTCGAGATTTGTTAGATTTCCTAGAGCCAGTACGGCGGTGTTTACTAGAGGAGGCTGTGGGGGTGATCTCGTCAAGAGTCTCTCGTAGTTTTATAGATACGGGATCCTCCTGGTCTTCTAGCTGTTCGGCTAAATCACCAGTGTCGCTCCACGAAAAATCGTCTGAGTCTACAGACAACCTCGAATGTGAGGAGTTCCCGCGATGGGAGCTATCGTGGGAAGGCCCAGGTAGTAGGGATTCTGAGTGTAGACGGTCACGATCCCTTGCCGCTGAGGGTGAAGCTAGGGTACGAAGGGGTATTTGAGTCTGGTGGGTGGACGATGTGGAAGGAATGGTGAAGGCGGTTGGGCTGGAGAACAGCCGTGTTCTTCAAGGTGTGAAGGGTCCAGGACGGCAGCCACGGCTCACGGGCTGCGGGAAGGGCGAGGGTTTTGTTCGGGGAGGGGGGAGCTTTCCAAAGGGGCTTTTCCTGGTAGGCAAAGAGATGAATGAGCGTGGTGGTTGCTTCTGCTGATGGCTGCTGAGCTGTGCAAGTGTTTAGACGTGCAGCAGCTGAGTGTTGGATGTGTTTGGATTCTGTGAGTGCGCGGCTCCTTGCCAGAGGCACAAGACCTGGGTCAAGGAAATGATAATCTCGGTCTGTCACTCGACTGTTATTTTTAATCTATATGAAGTTAATATATAGGAGTAGAGTACAAACATCGTTCACTTCATAGCTATTCTTTCTATCTAGAATCCGTATTTCATGATCATGACTCTTTCCTACACCCTTCGAAGGCTTCAGGAAATACATACATGTAATTACAATTGATGATAGCCGAGGTGGTGATATCATACAAGCAGGTCAAGCCGATAAAAGTACTTCTGTATAATTGTTTTTTGGAAACATAACCAAAACGGTAAATCATAGCTCTTTCAAACTAAAAGCTACCTATAGTAGAATAGTTTCAGGTCGAAATGTGATGTCCAAAGCGCGCAACTCGACATAAAAAACTACACACCGGATAATTGGGCGTTCTAGGTTACAGAGCGACAGCCGGTACTTACTCTGTGTGGACAACGGCTCGTGCAGACATGGTGATCCTCGAGTTCCATTTGTTTGTCCAATCGCATCCCGGCCCAAAACTACGTTATCTTTGCGCTCCGGCTCTTGCGCATAATCCGTCTAAAGGCGTAAAAATTCTCTGGAGGACGCCTTGTTAAAAACAACATCCTTCAAGAACGTGAGAAACTTCAGAGGCTGTATTCATGTTCAATACATCAGCTTATAGACGTACTCGATTCCCATCTAGAATCATAGGACTATTTCTTGCATGAACCCTGCATCTGCTTCCCGTCTCAAATATTTATCCTCGAATAAATCAAGATCTGAACTGGAGGAGTTTAAACAAAAGCAAAGGTCAAGTTGCATAGAGTTATTGGTGGTAAGCTAGAGTCGTAACCATGTGATCATCCGGAAGCATGAAGTCTATGCAGACTAAAATTTAGCTAGCCAGCGCCTCCACAGTGGTTCTTATCAACACTTCTGCTACAATATTAACAGTTAAATCCGACTTGACCTTTACATTCTGCTTCTAATCAGTCTTCAGGCTGAAGAATTGCAGAGCTTATCGAGGCTTTTTATTTTGTTTCGACGTTGAGATTAACCTCTGATACTCGAAGAAGCAGGAATACTCGAGAAGGCTGCGCGGGGAGTCGCGGAATACGCCGGTAGAAGAATTCCAGGTTCTCATCACACTAGTTAGCTCTTTGACCACGGATGTGGGGCACCGAAGGGGTGTAACATGTCGGTAGGTACATGTACAGCGATAGGAATGATCTATGGAAAAACCAGTTATATGGTGCACAGATATTTCGCCATACAATTTCACCCCCCCTGTTTTTCCATAGATCATTCGGTCGCTGTACCTACATACGATATCAAATTCAGCATGGTGTGCATTGCCGGAGCACCACCCTTGTAACGCCTCAATGATCACGATACCAGAAATCCGAAGCCTAAAGAGCCTCTGCTCAACATCACGAGTGTTCCCAGATGGAACAGACCTCAGACTTTAGGACTGCTTGCTTGGCAGATATCCTCCGGGTGACCATGTATGATTCAGTCTAATTCCACCCAGTGTCATCTGAAGATGAAGGGTGCAGATCACTCAAGCCTTCCGCTGGGAATGTTTGCTGTTGACAAAGATCTTCAATTCGGGTCGTCAGCCAAGACATTCTATTTTGCCGGAATATAAAACTTGCTCAAACTGTAGGTATGTAGGTACATGCTCCTGGATTCTTGACAAAAGAATATTCTTTGACCTGCAGATAGTGAACAAATTGCCGTTGGGATGGCTCGTGGGTGCCAAGAGACACGCGAGTAACCCTGTCGTCTGTTTCACCCGTCGGTTCAGCCGGGCCGCGACCTCATTCACTGGTCCAGTTCTGCTCAAAAAGACAGTGAGCTCCCCATGTAGAACCTACATGTACTTATCGTCTGGCAGGAGGTTCCTTAAGCTGTGCTTGCTTTCTATTAGTACCGGTAACAGTACAGAACTATCTACGCATGGATAGCACAGATATAATGAAGTTTTGTCTTTAACCAAGCTAATGCCATATAGGCTTCATCTCTTCACTAAACGCCCAGGACGACAAAGAATTCTATACAGCCAGTAACTGCATACATTCGAGACAGAATATCTTGGTTTGTGTCTAGCTCAAAGGACATGACCGCGACAGCAGTGTTGTCAATTGAGACAGGATTAACGGATCTACAACGACGAAAACTGCTGGATTTAGCACTTTCAACTTTATCCAAACCACATGTTGAAGGATCTGCTTTTGCGGTGAGTTCATGATGGCGCACCACCAGGGACAGAGGAACGCCAGCAGCTCGATTTAATATGACTATTCTAAAGTTGGCTTTACGGGAGTGGGGAGTGAAGGAGCTCTTGTCAGAATTCTCGGATGCGGATGGCAACCGTCCATCCATTAAGCAAAACAAGACCTATCGAAAATAAAACCGAAATAGATATTCTGTTGGGTTTTCACTTTCTTTGAAAAACAGCTCACCCCAGGCAGATATCTCGCAACATTTTCAAGCGGTTTTTGATGATAGTCCTCACGTTCCTAGGCAACTTTTCAAAGATCCGACGGCCAACTTACAACCGGCTGATGAATAAGGAATTCTAAGGTCAATTTTACAGGAGCACGGAATACGAGTTTGAGTGGTTAACGAGAAGGGCTCCCCCGCGTCATACATTTTCTCCTCTTTCTACGTTTCTTTTTTCTGAAATGTAGCCCTTAGAGAGGGCGGCGATGAGAAGAGATAGTATTGCAGGGATTACCTCCGAGCTCATCTTTTAGGTACACATATTCTTGGCAATGCAGTATTGCCAAGCACTGACATCATACAACCTATCGAGGGTAGACTATGTAGCTCTATTGAGGACAGGAGGTTTCAAGTGTCATCCGTATCCAATAACAAAGTCACTGATATCAATACCAAGCCTCCAAATCACGACTGCATTCCTCACCTCATAAATATTATTTTAACGTCACATGTACCAAGTCTATGGGTTGAGCTCATGAAAGTTTAACCCCGCAACATCACTAGCTAGGTTCATACGGAAGTTTCAGGAGCACTCCATATAATAATTTTGTGAGGTGGAGGAAAAATGGCTGCGTCCAACGCAAAACCCAAAATCCCAAATCATCTGCGTACTGCATAAATTCAACCCTTGTACCCCAGGCCCACGCGCTCTTCCATCTCACCCAATTTTCTGTAGATATATATGAGTAATCCTTGGTCGCACAGAGCCCTCATCATGCGACAGTTCGCGATGCTCACATGCCAGAAATACTATTGATCTTGCAATGAACTCTATCCCAATAACCCCACCAAAACAAACTTTTGTGGCTCAAATAAGGCACTTGGAGTGTTTATAATAATAAGTAGTATATTAGGCCATGTGCACTATGAAGTACATGTATGTAGGTACGAAAATCTGGACAGCCGCAAGGAGATATGACAGTAGGGCTAGCCCTAGAGTTAGGGTTAGGTGAGTCATTCGTTGACCTCTGTTCAACACCAATCTAGCTGGCATGGCATAGGGCTTTGTGTACCGCATATATTTATTTAATTCTTTTCTCCTCCCTTTTGATCAATGGAAGCCACCAAGAGATTATTTCCCTTCAAGGCTCGAGGGGCGCACTAGACAGTTAAATACGTACCTTAATCAAGTATCCCATAAACCGTTGAGACAATGCCAACACGGCTAAGACGTGCCCGGAGCCAATAATATAATGACTTTGTTGATCTCTTACTCGATTTTGCTGCGGCCTTTTGTTTCACAAGAGGGGTGGTTTATGGAATAGCTAGTTCACGTGATTAATCATGAAATATCACTCGTATAGCTCTGGCATCTGACCTCCAGATTTTCTTTTTGTCTTGTTTAATATTAATAATCTTACAGTTATGGCACTATCATGCTACCCCAGAACTGCCCTACCTCCACCACCATCTTCACAGAAAAGAAAACTAACTAGCAACAATTTTGACTCTGTCTCTCCTTCCATCTTCCCTCTTGGAACCATAAATGAACCTTTCGTATCCTGAATAGTCATCCATATATGTGTACAAGTATCTTGAAACCCCGATGGTGCCTGTCCTGTCGCTTATTGTCTTATTCTCCACCTTTACATCCGTTCTAGGCCTATCCATAAAAATAAAGGCCTGGGTTTCGCTGTGTCTGAACCATGCCCACCCCGCAAGTATGTATTGATCCCTATTGTTGCTGTTCCATTCTTCGACTGCCTTCTTGATTTCTGGTCTGACCTATAGATAGCTATAGGACTTTGACCTTAACAGTACTGCATGCTATAACTCAATTCAAATCTCGATTTGAGAAGCTAGTACTTAATGTATTAAACGATAATGTTTCCTCACTATGAAATATATACTGACACTGACCATAACTACAATAATGGTGCCCGGACCCGCCACTTGAATTGATTACACCATTGCCATAGGAATATGCGAGACAACCCTCCCGGACTGTTGTTCTGAAAGTAAAAAAAAAACTAATAATTGTTTCAAGAGGCCGATTATCTACTCACCAGAACGATAGATCTCTCACTCTTCTCGGGGATGTCGAATTTCCGGCATTAACCACGCATTTTTAATCATGGAAGTAGGTACGGTCTCCTTGATACATTTAACATCTAAAAGATCCCCACGATCCCCTATGGATGACTAGCTCCTCATTACAGAATCACGGGATCGAGGACTATCGACAGGCAAGAGCATAGGATTCTGGGGAGAGTTGGGGAACGTGATAGGTACAAATCCTATATAACGTGTTTCACCGGGAAAGCAACTGAAGCTCACAGAAGGGCATTGTGAGCACCAAAACAATACCTATGAAGCCATACATGTATAGGAGAGTTCTTTTGGTGTTTTTGACTATTTCTTATGATCATAGCGAGTATATAGCTATGGGAGGGTCATCAGCTGTGATCAAGCCTTGATGACCCTCCCACAGCTATATACTCGCTACCTATTAGTAACAATCATCAGAAATATTCGAAAGATATCTCAAAATGACTTTAGTGTATTTAGTTCTGTAATTCTGGGTGATTTTGAATTTTCACAGCAATTCGCGATCCCGTTCATGTCATGCTTGATTGCTTTCCCAGTGACGATTGCGGTACCGGTGAAACACGTTATAACCGAGTAAACCGTTGATATCACGGTCTTGATTTATGATGTCCGCAATACTACATATACATTTAAGGTTAGGCCAAGTATGAAAGTAGGCCGCTTAGGTTCTGCACCGCTAACCAAATCGCCTACTAGTCTGTTGAACGACCGGCCTCCTAACCCAGCACGAGATCTTTGCAAGACGTGGCTTTATGAGTGAAGTGTAGTTTCTATCTGTCAACCAAATTGCTCCGCTGTCTAACTTGAATGGAATACCCTGCCCTCCAAGTCCATAAAAAATGACAAGCGGTCGAGCCGTTCCCAAAGACTCTACTAAGTTATGTGGTGAAGAGTCAAGGTCCTAGTTCAAGACTCTTCATTATACTCTGTATGGGAGAAGATGCTCTGTAATTAAACGCTCTGCGTGTTCTAACTCCTGTAGAAAAGAAATAGGAAAACACAAAACACAAAAAGTACTGCATCGGGAATTAATTCTGATACTACTCCCACCCCTGGTTCGAACCCGGGACCTGCCGGGTCAAACACTCGGTGTCTAACCTGACGAGTAGTCCAAGTATGTTATCCACTAGACCACTCGCCTATGTTTTGCAAGGTCCAGAATTGATATTTGACAGAACAGCTAATCTGGCACCAAGATACGCGGGAACCCCTATCCCGGTTTGTTGGTCAGTAGATGCCGGTTTCTACACTTGGAGGCACAGGAGGAAATGGGCTTTGGGGTTTGAGCTTCAGCATTCTTGGGTTATCCTAGCGGTAACGCCCTTCTACTTATGCATCTCCCTACAGGATGGTCATCTTAAGGCCCCTAGATTTACCCTGATGCCGGGCATATATACAGTCACCTCGAGCTGTGTACGTACCTGCCAATTATGTGTGGGGGGTGCAGTATTCTGTCCGGCAAGCTTCGTAAAGCAGTACCCGCTTTGTGAATGGCTCGAAGGCTTACTATATAATCTGCTAGACAGTGGGAGACTTAGCGAATTACAGGTGAGAATAGGTACGAATATATGGAGGATAATTATCAAATGATCGAACTCGAAGGCCCGGCCTACCAAGTTAGATAATATAGAGAGAGAGAGAGTTTTCTGGCTCCACTAAGTACTTGGCGAATGGAGTAAGTCAAATTCCAACTTGGTGAGCATGCCAACCTGTTCGATGCTGAGTTGGCTTTGTTAATTAATGAATTAAACAAAAAAAAGAGAGAGAGAGAGAAAAGGTTGGCTTTGTTAACCGGATTTCCAATTTGCCAGCTGCAGTGGTGCAACTTGGTCATTGGTCAACAGGGCCGATCTGCAGAATCAACAGAATTCTAACTTCACCGGGGAGCTTGAGTAGACTTAGGAGGTCCGTGAGCTGGCATATTGCATGTAATATATACAAACCACCAATAACGTCGAAATAATATACAGAAACCACATATATATATCAAATATTGAAACATTCAGACCTCCCCGTCCGCAATGGATCTACTGTGCTATTAAGACATGGGGCCTGTTATCTGTAGCAGTAAATGCGCATCCATACGTTTTAGCTATATATATACATACGGCAAGAACGTTACGGGCCTAAATCAAAACCGCTGTTATACCATTCCCGCCGTCTGACTTAAGATAATTAATCCCCTAACTTTACTGTTTCCCAGATCATCCTCGACTACACCCTCAAAATCTTCTCCTTCTGAGTATTAAAAGTCTTTCCACCGCACCTCAATTCGAACAGTAGTTACATCGTCACTGGCAGTCATAAACCACGCCCATGCAAGTACACATGGAGGTTTCTGACGATCTGAGAATTCTATGTTCCCTTCCCGACTTGAACGGCTTTGTATTCCTTGGCGAATCATATTAGTAGCACTCGCTGCAGTCATTTAGGATTCTCCCAAGCGTTATAATAGGAATAAGATTCGTGGTTATTTTTCTTCATCTTTCGAGTCCCTGAAAAGTTTTCATGGTGGGTTAATTCTCTTTTGCTTAATAATGTCGTCTATATTATGGGGGGGGGGGGGGGGGGATCATAGCATTTGGGCCGCTCTTATCTCGCCATTTCATGGAGAACCCGGACCTAATCAACTTGTATGTAGTAAATGGACTGGAATGAGAAGGGAGGGAGAGGACAAAAATAAGGCATAAAAGAACAGGTGAGCTTAATTAATATGACTTACCCAAAGCCCTACCCTTTTATAAATGATTTCGGTAAATTTATTGATATGCTTGACAATGAATCTTTAATCAATCAATTAACAACGAGTCTTGATCATGAATGATCACTCGACATCCGGTTCTCAAGGGTGGTTTCCTGTGAAGGTTTCAATATCATTTTGACAGTAATCAACTATCAGCGAATATAGATCAGAGCTTAAATGCATTCAATGGCTTAACACCTCGTTATCACTCTCCTTCTCCTTCGGTCTAGCCCCCATGCGTGTGGTGCGCCGTGATTATGTATGTGCTTTGGAACGAAGAAAATCGCGCAGGTAGGGCCAGAAACAGGAAACGAAAGTTAAGATTTTTAATTGTCTTATCAGCCATCAACCCTTTATAAATCGGGACTTATCTAATCCTCACTACTAAAGATCTGATGTTTTACCAGTAAAAGATATCATTGACATCGTAAGTCTCGCTATTTAGCACCCTTCGAACTTCGCGCCTTTAGATTACCGGTCACTACGTTTATATATCTACTGGGAGAGGTGCACCGTCGGCCAGAGAAAAAAAGGAAACACACCTTTGGACTTGCAAATTACCAGAGATTCTGATCTTTGCAAACATCTTAATGCAAGGTCGTCATTAGTTCACAAACGAAACGTATCCTCCGATCACCAAGGCAGTCAGACCTAACATCGTGAATAGGCAGCTTGGTGACTTCCGGTTTTAAGCCCGGTCATCATGAGACGCTTGCGACGTACAATTAATACGAAGTATTATAGAACCCCTATCTCACGCATTAGAGGTCATAACCATAAGGGCTATCGCGGATGCTATCTCTAGATCTTTACATATAAATACCACTCACCAGCTTCAAGCTCTTAAAACTAACGTATCTCGGCCTGTGTTTCCAGTGATGGTACATATATGCACATACGTGTGTGCGAAGCTTGCTATTTGACGTACCTACGCACACATTCTTTTCATGTTGGCTCCCTCCCAGTCTCAGGGCCAATCATCTCTGCATCTTTGTGGTAAACTCTACTAATGGAAATGCTTCCTGATGATGACGAGTAAATTGTAAAAGTTTTGATTTTTGTGACTTACCCAGAGCTGTTTTAATCCCTCCTCGCAGAATTTTCGAAACTAAAGCATCAAATAGGAAGTACTGACAGAAAGGAGGTCAAAATAAAGTCATTTGGCATGTTCCTATCGCTATACATTATATGCGGTTTCCCTCTCACCTCTTTTAAACCCCATAGTACATGTTCCAGGGGGTCTCTAGCCGGTTACCACTCAGCAGCACGCCCCTCCCCTTGAGTCCACTGCAGCTGATTCTTCCGATTCAAAAGGATTCTGAATCGAGAATCTGGCTCTTTCACCGGTCCCCCGTTTCTATTTTTGGGGACGGAGGCTGGCGAAGCTACGGTTGGACTGATCGGCGGTGGGTTAGGGTTTCTTTCATTGTAGAACTTTTTTCGTACTTTTTTTGTTTTGTTATCATTAGGGTTTAGTAAAATAGCTACTAATATGTAGTTGAATTTTGGAGACAAAAACACTCTTTTTTTTTGCATCTCCGTTAAGTGACAAAAAAAAAAACTCAAGGCTTTCTCAGTTGACTGTGACTTACATGTATTTCCAATCACAGGCAGTTGTCTTTATAACTGGCCGTGGGCTGTGTATGGGCTTCTAGGTGTACCTACATACATACACCAGAGGCAATCCATTATATAATCCTCTACCGCAAATGTTACGGCAGCATACCAATGTGATAAAAATAGTATATTGACCGTAGTTGCGAAAAATTTAACTTCTGATACCTGTTCCATCCTTCCCCAATCGACTAGGTCCCCCAGACCAAGCCTTTCAATCTAGCCTAGCATAGCCAGAATACAAGAACGACTAAACCACCCCAGGTACTAGGCCTATACCCCCACCTCCCCTTACGTTTGAGACTAGCTGCGTGCCAGGTAAGGCTGTTTGAGCGCTTAGACTCAAATATTTACTCGTCCCACATGCTTCAATTCAAAACATTATGATTTGGACACAATCCTTTGGAACGCCCCCACTTAGCTAACGCAGGACGGGGGTTGGGTTGTCACATAACGTCAACTGGCATATCATCAATTGAGAACCATTGCATCCCTTCCGCAGATCTACAGGGATCCATGTGACGAGTGACATCATGTGATGCAAATACATAATCAGCTAGAAAAATAAACTGGTTTGTTGCTATCACAATGGCCATCATCATCCTTAATATTAGAGTTGTTGTTTGGTTATGGTAATCTAGAGCTACTTAAGGCAAATCGAGTAGAACGGTTGATCAATTCTGAAACAAGCAAGGGTTGTTTTACAGCTGCACTAGGGGATCAATCAAAAATCTCAATGAATACACTCATACTTCCAAAAAATTAAATATACGAAGTATGCATATACACTTAAAAGGGTCAAATGGACCTTGAAACGATTAAACCTTCTTGGGTAGCGAAAGTAAACCTCCAGAAGACAATTGATAAAACCCATACATACAGATATAAAGATCGCAAAGAACACCCCAAAAAATACAAAATAACAATAAAGAAGATAGACTTTTTTTTTCGTACACATCCTTTCCCCAGAATGCTAGACAAAAGATCCTAACCGAAGTAAAGCAAAATGAAATTTTTGTAAAAAAGAAAACGGCGATAAGCCCTCAAAACATAATTTAAACCTTGTAAATCCGTTTTCGTTTAGTATTTTGTCTGCCTCTCGTGTGTAGTGAAGACGCCATCAGGGTATCTGGCCTTGAGAGCAGCTTTTCGCATCTTGTCCTTATCGGGATCATAGGCCAAGAACTCGTGAAGGGCTTTGCCGGCAGGCACCATTGGTAGAACGGGCACCTTCTTCTGTAATGTGTGTTAGAAATTTACCTTGAAGAGACAATAGATCCAATGAGATGGAACTTACGTCAACAACAACTTCCAACAGCACTGGCCCATCATACTCAAGCAGCTCCTTGATTGCGCCAGGTATTTCCTCAATCTTTGTGGCCCTCATACCCTTGAGTCCCATAGCATCGGCCAACTTGACGAAATCAGGGTTCTTTTGATGGGTCCATGAGTAACGGTCCTCATAGAACAAACTCTGCCACTGTGTGACCATCCCCTGCTCTTCGTTGTTCAAAATAATAATCTTAACACCAACGTTGAACTGGACAGCAGTCGAGAGCTCTGAGAGGGTCATGCTAAAACTGGCATCACCATCGATATCGACAACAATAGCCTCAGGACATGCGACCTTTGCACCAATAGCAGCAGGAAGGCCGAATCCCATGGTTCCGAGCCCACCAGAAGTGACCATAGTACGAGGACTTCTCCACCTAAAGTGCTGGGCGGCCCACATCTGATGTTGACCTACACCTGTTGCAATGATGGTCTTCTTGTCAAGTGCCGCAGTCTGCCTGCTCAGTTCCTCGATAACGGATTGGGGCTTGATCATAGATCCGGGGGATTCCTTCTCGTAGGCGAAGGGGAAACGTTTCTTCCAATCATTGATCTGGGTAAACCATTCGGGACGGTCGACAACAGATTCAACGTGGGGAATAAGGAGACTCAGGTTGTTTGCAACGTCACCCTCAACGGCCTCGGTAGCTTGGACGACTTTGTTGATGTTCTTAGGCAAGATCTCGAAATGCACAATACCACCACGTCCCTCGGAGGCAGCAATCTTGGCGTTAGGTGCGAATTCTAAAGTCTCCCGTTAGTTTTTCTTCTTTTCTCTGTTCTGATGGGCGGAACTTACTTGCGACATTACCGGTAACACGGTCATCGAATCTTGCACCGAGAGCGATAATCAAATCGGCCTCTTGCATGGACAAGTTAGCATAAGGAGATCCGTGCATTCCCAGCATGTGCAGAGACTTGGGGTCAAGCTCATCGAAACCACCCAATCCCTGTAGAGTTGTTGTGACAGGAATCTTTGCCTTCTCTGCGAATGCGGCCAAAATTTCCGGTCCTTCGGGTCGCTCAATAATTCCTGCTCCGGCGTAAATAATTGGCTTTTTTGCCATGTTGACAAGACGTGCGACCCTTTGGATTGAGGCATCCAGACGCCTCTTACTGGCCTCCTTTGCAGCAATAGATGCGGCGGAAGGGTGCGCTGGCAAATCAGAATGCACTGGGATAGCCTTCCGCAAAATACCGGCGGTAACATCTTTGGGAAGATCTACAAGAACGGGCCCAGGACGGCCAGATGTCGCAATCTCAAAAGCTTCATTGATGCGGCGAGGAAGTTCTGCAACGTTCTTGACCATAACATTCCATTTCGTGCAAGCACGGGAGATGCCGATGACATCGGCCTCTTGGAAAGCATCGGTACCAATTGCAGAAGTTGGAACTTGACCACAGAATACAACGAGAGGTGTCCCGTCACTAAGAGCGTCCTGTATGGGGGTAATTACGTTGGTTGCTCCAGGTCCAGAAGTCACAAGCACGACTCCAGGTTTTCCTGAGGCCCGTGCATAACCCTCAGCCATATGACCAGCACCCTGCTCATGGCGGGGCATAATGAAATCAAAATGCGGTGAGTTGTAGATGGCGTCAAACACGGGGAGAATAGCTCCACCGGCGTATCCAACTAAGAATCATGACTGCAGTCAGTAAAAATGGAACAAAACTGCAACAAGATCTGCAAAAGCTTGGTTTCACATACAGATATGCTTGACATCATGTCGTAGCATCATCTCGTGGAATATCTCGCCTCCAGACATTCCTACGAAGCTAGATTAAATTGGGTCAGCCAAAGTCGCAATTGGACACGACATCTGACATGAACTTACGAATCATCCATTTCAGGCGCTTGCCTGGGCTGTAAAGGATGCAAGTCATGAGCTGCGGGCTGAGAAGCGCTCGGAGGATCTTGGTTGAATGATGGAGACGGCACGGGCCGGTTTCTGCAGGTCCCCAACGATGAGTCAGAATTCATCCTATCAACTTTTTATGCAGCTCAAGAACAAAGATTGCGGGGACGCATAAAGAAAAGAAAAATATAAACAGTGAAAAACACTTACACAGCAGCAGCAGTGGTCGATTGATTCCGTGAGATATCTGTTGTCTTATTTCGCGGCAATCCACCCGAGCGAGAGTACGGCGATAAAGCAGCAGGGGCTGCAGTTGTCGAAAAGCAGCTCCTGCTGACATTCTGAGGGCGGACAGCTCTGAAAGAAGCTCGGACGGCAGCAGTTCTGAGCATGTTGGGCAATTCGCTGCGAAGGGAAAGCCAATTACAAAAAGGGAAACAAAAAGAATGAGCGAATTAACAATTGAGGGAGTTGGTTGTGGTTGAAAGAATGGAAGGAAGGGATCGATTGAACGATGAACGATGAAGGGTGTGGGGGAGAGAAAAGGTCGATGTCGCCAGAGGAGGAGGCGAGAGAAGTTTTTTTTACGTTTCACTGGAAGGGTTAGAGTCATACCCCACAACCGGACCCATGGCAACAGTCTAGAATAAACGGCAATAGGAATTGATACACCGAGGTTTAACGGGAAATTAACATTGTGTTCCGCCAATATATTAACTTTTGCCCAGAGAATTGTTACATGTACAGTGCAGTTTCAATGCATTGATTAATACATATCCTCATAGCCTGTTAACGCGAGAGAATCTCCCGGTCACATACATGTATTCTTATTACACTCAGCATTTGCGTGCATTTTAACTTTGGGACAAGGGGCAATTGCCAGGCGCGAGAAGGGAGGAAACAAAGAAAATTGCAAGCCAAAAATTAAAAACTGACAGACGTAACTTGCTCCTGTAAGCAGGGGAAAAAAAATCGAAACCCTAACCCATACCAAGATTCCAGGGCCGCCCAGACCTTCGACTGGGCCATTAACCGAAGGACCAAGGAATGTCTCAAGTTAGGTCAATCATCAAGAAACAGATTTTCGCAGTCTCACCTTGCAACGAATCATTGACCTTAGTGCTCTTATTAAGCATTCATTGGAGCCAACTCAAGCCACAAAGAACAGACCGGAGCTCCCTAACTGTGCAAGACCTGCTTTTCAATCAAATTATGTATGTACATGTATATATGTGCTGTTCGGTTCCGCCTTATGTAAAAGCCAGCCGACAGAGATCCCGGGACGCGGCCGGCCCGAATGCATATCCCCCGTGCTTCTGCTGCGTGCAGCGTGGCATGGCCCCCGGAGTCCTCAGAATGGTCCAGTATCACTGGAGTGACGGACTGGTAGACCTTTGCTGGCCGCTGATGCTGCAACGGGCACAGGCAGGGTAACCACAGCAGGCGATAGGTCTGCCAAGCGTTTACGCCAGCAACCAAGCAACGCCTCACCTCTATGGGCAAAAATAGACCCCTGACCTCCGTCACTGTATTCATTTCCACTAGGACTGCCAACAGCGACGTACCTACGGCATCGCATTGATCGCGACTTATTCCATCAGACACAGTAGATTCGTTCGCTCAGAAAGCAATCAATTGCCCCCAGCTTCAAGTTTTTTCTCCCCGTCTGCAGTTCTCCGTCTACACTTGACCGCCGGAAAAGTTAGGTGCTCAAATACCTCAGTACCAAACTGCTAAGCGGAACGTGTCCTCTCCAACCTCAAAGAGCTATCCACCCAACCGCATCAAGCCTCCCACCCCCCCTCTACCATTAACCATTAACGAACCGAGAGAAGGACAACAAAACAAAAATATACGCAGGCACAATAATCACATCCACCCCCCCGTTCGGAAATCTTTGTTTCATCCGTGGGCTACCCAGGGCAAGTCTGTGAATAAGTAAAAAAAAACCAATTATTTATTAAAAAAAAACGCCATCATGAATATCTTTCGAGTCACGGGAGATCTCTTCCATCTCATATCCATCTTCATCCTACTGCAGAAGATGCGAACATCGAAGGTGTGCAATTGCAGTCCCCTCCCAATACACATGTAGTCTGAAATTTTCGGTTTCTGTTCCGTCCGGTTTCGGCTGGCTGATATTCGGAGGGATTTGTTTAAGAGTTGCGCAGGGATTTCGTTCAAGTCCCAGGTATTGTATCTCACAGTCTATGTCACTCGGTACTTAGGTAGGCGGAAGCTCCCCCACGCGCGAGCAATCTTCCCATACTCCCGCCCCGACGATAGATGCTGCGCGTCTACTCCGTGTGTAGTTTTCGGGAAGAAAAAAAAGTGCTAACCACGCATGTTAATAGACCTTCTATGGACTTTCAATCACTCGACATACAACACCTTGATGAAGATCATCTTCATCGCCTCCGCCGGATACACAATTTACCTGATGATGAATGACTTTAAGCCAACGCACGATCCAAACATAGACACTTTCAAGGTTCAGTACCTGATTGGTGGATCGGCGATTCTGGCAGTCCTGTTTCCGTATAAGTGGATACCATCAGAGGTATTTGACCCACTCATTTGAACGGGGGGATTCGGGTGTTAGATTTTGTAGTCGCTCGAGATCGCGGCGCCGGTGCGATTTGTTCCGGTGGCCCTGATACTGCCGTTTCTTCACTCCCGTGGGTGAATTGCTGGTAGTTTCGAAAGCTTTGAAAGTGCCAGGCTGATGGGTTTATTTTGGGTTACCCTCTCGGTAGATTCTGTGGACCTTTAGTATTTGGCTCGAAAGCGTCGCCATTCTCCCTCAACTTTTTATGGTTCAACGAACAGGCGAAGCCGAAACTATAACGACTCATTACCTATTTGCGCTGGGTGCATATAGGGCCTTGTATATACCGAACTGGATCTACCGTTATTTTATGGAAAATGGGCACGTCGATCCCATCGCTACGTTGGCTGGTATCATCCAAACAATCCTTTACTCGGATTTCTTTTACATCTACTACACCAAGTATGATTGACCCTTTCCATTCGTACCTTTCTTATCCCTTTTGCCCCACGTACCCCTCCACCCCACGTACCCCTCCACCCTCCGTACCCCTCCAACCTTCCCCTGAATACATACTTCCGTATCAAACGCCCTATCGATCATCGGTCGATTGATAGGTTAAGCTTTTGCAACAAGACTAATGGCCGTGCTCTCGCAAATCAACAGGGTGTTTAAGGGTAAGAAATTCGAGCTTCCGGTTTAGAATACCGTGAGTGCGGGTCCGCGCTCCCACTCCTGAGGCTCGCTTGCTGGTTTCCGCGTAGTGTGTGTGCTGTTTCTTGGAACGAACGTGGTATGGTAGCATGGTGTGTGATAGAATGTCAACTGGTGGGAGAATCAATAAAGTTTATGGAGTGAACAGGATACGAAGCAAGAAAAAACGGCGGGGAAGAAAAGGAAGTAACAGATTCAATGAAAATAAGAAAAATTCCCGAAAAAGTAAAAAATAAACACACTTTGCTGAAACTGCTCTGCGCATGCGCTGCGTGCGGCTGCGTTTTACCAGGTGCCATGCACCAAGTTTGGAAATAGATCAAGAGGCGAGGTGGGAGAGCCCGGGGTATGGCGCGCCGAGAGATTTGACGGGCAGGCAAGAGGGTGTGCAGGCACTGTATTTTATGTCCGATGGCTGGTTCAGGCCCAAAATGCGGGGAACTAGAGGGTGTGGTGCCGGCTTTTGCACACCACTGCGAGGCACTACATACAGACCGCTGCCTTTCTTTGGGCTTCGGAACACCTAAAAAAGAAAAGATTGGGGTACCAAAAAAATTAGTTGCAGTAACTCAGGGGGTCATGCTTATTTTCTTTCCTTTTGCTGTGCACCGCGGGGGCGCCTTGCCATGGGAAGGAGGAACGAGGATGAGCTGTAATGCTTCACTTTTGGAGTACATGATAGTTTCTTTTTCTGCTCTGTTCAGGGCTTTTTTTTCTTTTCTTGGAGGTCGGTTTTCGAATTTTTGGGTTTCAGTGTCTCGTGGGGTCTTGCTTGATCTTGTCTGGAATGAAGGCAGAAAAGGCTGCGACGAAGAATGTGAATTCCATTCTGTCGGTATCAAAAGGTAAATCTGGATGTGATATGGCCATGGGAAAACTAAGTATGTAACTTTTTTTTTTTTTTTTTTTTTTTAGTTATCGGATCCTCAGAAGGGGTTCGATGCTTCTAGAGAAAAGCAATCAACTGGGGGTAGAAGTAGGCTACCCGCATTGATGTACTCAACCGTTCCTTCCGTCCCAGGGTTACGAGTAATGAGAATCAGATGAAAGGAAGCAAAAATAAAAATAAAAAATAGGAGAGATCAAGCCCGGGTTGAAAAACCGGGAAGAAGCAAATAAAAAGTATGCTCAAATTAGTTGCCAACGAGGTTCTGGACCACTACTGGTATTACTAGAGTAGCAAGTTTTGGCCGTTCTTGTGCCAAATATTACTTGCCAAGGCTCCAAAGATTCAGTAGCGAAAATAGGGTAATCGTAACAACAACCAACCACAGTGCTGTGGACGTTCATCCTATCTTTCGGACCGGGGAAGAGGGAAGGGCACAGACGGGGAAAGATGATAGGGCTGCCTGTGTCTCTATTTGGTTTTAGTGGTCTCGGCCCTTTTAGCGGCCGTGGCGGTGGAGAGAACCGAGAAGGGTTATGCCATGGTGCTGAGCTGTACTCTACACAACGGCCAGCACAGTTATGCTCCCGGTCCGATTTCCAAACGGTTACTCGATGTCTGATGCTGTTGGTTTAATGGACAGGGGAATAAAAATAAAAAGCGCCATTAGCGAGCAGGAAGGAATCCACTGCCGTCGATCATCGGTAGGCGACAGAGACGAGAAAAACGAAGGAAGAACGGGCAGCCGAAAATTTATCGGGGATTGAAGAGGCCAAACGGGCTTGCTATCCACCAGGGGCGCACGCGCGAAAGCGCGGGGGGGGGGGGGGGGAGCCACAGCTCATGTATCTATACGCACAATCGATCCATCTAATCCAGCCGCATGATTTGCATGTGAGTTGAAAGATAGAGAGGGCTTTGAGGAAGAAGCCAGATCTGGATAACTGTGTGTTATGTATGTAGGTGTGGATGAGGTGGTGTGTGGTGTTTAGGTGGTGTGTAAGGCATGATGTACGTGTGTATGTAAGTAGTTAAACAGAAAGACAGGATGCGAATTAGACCGGGAATGGGAAAACTATGCGTGTGTGGGGAGCCTAGATACTCCGATTAGGGATCTGGTGAGAATTGGGGGGTTGTATAGTGGGGGTAAGAGTAAGAGTAACAGGTGAGTGAAAAGGTAGGTGTGAACTTCGGGCTTTCTTACGAGATGAAGAAAGAGAAGGTATTTGGTGTTGACAAAGGATAAACAGAGAAAACACTCCTTTGATAACCTGGCAGTTCCGAGATCTGAAAGATGTGGATATCATCGTGCGTGGGAGTGACCTTGACTCGTAGTGTGGGGAGATTAGACAACGAGAACAAAACAAACCGATCGAGTGTTTTGAGACTTTCTGAGCGATTGTCGCGATCTCACTGGAGACAAGGTTTGTATAAACGAATCCAATCCAGAGAGGTTTGTGACATTATAAAGAGAGTAAAGATATGGTACGTGTGTGATGGTACATTCAGGCTATCGAGAGTGAAAACTTTTCCTCCGAGATCGCAAGTTTTCATTTCTTCAGATCTAATTCGATGCTCAGTCTGATTCGCTCGCTTGTCTGTCGTAGAAGAGGGGGGTGAAAAAAGGAAAACCGTTGAAAATTGAGGCAAGAACTTTTGGGCTTTTGAAAACGACATTTGTCACTAGAAACCTCAAGTTACACATGGTCAAAATTTGGTAAGAGGTACCTACAGGTATTACTTGCCTGGTACAACGAGGTATCTACACACAGGTACATAAAGTGCAGTGCATACTTTCTAATTATACCAAGTAGAGTACCCCGAAGTATGTGTAGGGAGTAATTCTCATATCGTACTGTTCCAGGTTACGAAGCTGTCCAAAATGGAATAACGTCGATCAAAATTAAGACGTGGACAAAACGTCATGCTTGTTGAATCTTGAAAGGTCACGGAATTGGAATTGTGACAGTTCAGGGAGGACCGTTGATCGTCCCCAGCCGAGTCACGGACGCCGATTCAACTACACCGCACTAATCTCCATGATACCTACCACCTCCCATTCCCCTCCCTCTCCAGCGAATCCGGTGGTTTGTGATGTGACGGCGATACGTACTTGGATATCTACTCGAATACTCTACCTCGACTAAAAACTTTATTGCAACATGCACTGGGAATCTATCGCAATAACTGGTCTCATGGCAAAGAGACCTCTCTACCTCCGTGAATATCTGCCGAGTTCATGAAACACTCAGCTCAGGTCTGAAATGGCCATCAGCATATCGGGATTCCACTCCTGAATGAGTCCTCCTCCTAGCACCGGGAAGCCGAGTGATGGAAGTAAGACTCGGTGTTCAAATTTTGGATTGATATGGAAAAGCACCTACTGTAGGTACATGTACTCTAGCATCAATAAGTTTTACCTCCACGCGATATGTAGAGCACCAAAGGACCCCACTCATCCCGCCAATCCACAACCCACCAGTCCACACCCCCGTTCAACCCATGCCCCAAATCCTGCAGCCCACCACCAACCCTCCCACTCCCATCCCACCCTCCACTACACCCACTTCAATTCCTCCCGTGAGGCCAAGCAACGCACTGTACACGCACAGCACGAGCACCGAAACAGCATCCTGAATCCCTCTGCTGCAGAAAGCTCGTCCGCTGTAAGTAACCTGTAGACTAGCCCTCTTCTGCTCGCTCACCTGTTGTGTGACAGTACAGAACATCCTCCCACCCACTCTCTACTCGGGGAATAAAAATAAAAATATACCCATTCTTTCACGCTCGGTTCTCCCGATCATCGTACTTATCGATAGTTGGCCATCCATCCATTATCACTGATACTGTTATTAGGTCCCCAACTTAATAGCTGCCCTATTTCCCGCTTGCTCCTTCCCTCTCTCTCTCTTCCTCCCCTCATACTCAACATCATTACATTATATACTCGAGAGAAGTCCAGGCTCATTCTTTTTATAATCCAGCCTATATACCTACTACATATCCACCCTCATCCTCAATCATCCTCAATCATCCTCACCAACAAATACATTAAAGCCTGTCCTCTGCCTCTGCCACTTTGAAAGTCCCGTCGCACTCGCTTTTTAAAGTTTCGCCAATATAGTCGACAAGCATCGGCCAGCCCCACGCTCGTTTAGCTAAAAACACACTAACTTCAACAATCATGATGAACACCATGCCAGCTATGGACCGTCATCTCCATAACCTTTCACAATTCGACTTCACCCATCAAGCCCGTTTTCACTCTAGCCTGATGTACAATCGCGCTCCCCCACCTGGAAGCCTCATCATGCCTACCCCACTACAATTTTCGCCGAACCCTCACCAACAGGCCCATACCCACCACCACAACATCCACCACCCCCAGCAGCACCACCACCACCATCACCATCAGCAGGCGCAGCAGCAGCAGGTGAGACACAATTCGTCTCGGCAGTGTGACTAGAATTTTCGAGAGAACAGCCACTGGCTCAGCGTAACCGCTTTCCTACCTAGTGTTAACGAGGTTTTGGTCGTGGTAGATAGTGCTACTGCCCTTACCTCCGGTTGCATATGGAATGTGGTGGTTACAGTGGCTGTTCTGTCGAAGATCCTGTTCCGGTGTCGTCTATTAAAAACGGTTGTTAACATGGCACTTAGGATCAGCATGCGGTTCTCATGAACTCAAGTCCAAAACAGCAGCAACACCTCATGCCTACACCTACATCTGAGTTGGGCAACCAGTTTGATGAACAACCACAGAACATGGAAGGTTTCCCCACTGCCGCCGAATTCGAGAACCTTCTGAACGAATACATCCTCTCGCTTTCCCCCAAGAAAAGAGACAAGGCTCTCATTCCCCAGAAACGCTACGAAAACATCCGCGCCGTTCTGCGCGATCCCAAGTGCACCACAATTGAGTCCGCTCAGTTCAGATTTTGGGCCAAGAAGATGTTCCGTCTGGTGCAGCAGGAGGATGGCTACAATGACGTTGTTTGCCACGAGGGCAAGCCGGTTGCCGTGCGGGAAGACCTGTACCACGTTTTGACAACCTCTCACGGACAGGCGCAGCACGGTGGACGTGATAAGACCTCTGCTCAGGT